CCGCCGCGGCAGAGCTCGAACGAGGCCGTTGCGTCTGGGGAGGTTTGGGATTAGGCTTCGGTATACGCTTCTCTAAGACGTGCCACTCCTTCTCGATCTTGGTCATGGTGATCTCAAAGACCGCCGGCTTGATCGGCTCCAGCTGGTCCTCCCTTCTTTTCGCATTATATTCCTCCAGCCACTTCTCATCTTGCTCATCCATATCATATTCCACCCGGCCAACGGCAGCATTGACCTCACCTTCTGAAGTGACAGGGTTCGCCGGATCCAGATCATCTTCCTGGGCACCCTCTGTCATGCGAATCAACCGACGGTCATGGCGGAGGAATAGGTCGCTTTCTTGATACCCTACACTCGCCATAGTGCGATCAACATAGTTCTGCTGACCCACTCCAGGTTGGTCATAGAAAGTGAACGGGTCGCGTATGCGGAACGAGGGCTTCGGCAACGTCAGCCTCTCGCGGGGGTTCGGGCCTGGAGGTGGAACGTTCTTCTGTTGATGTGTGATGCCCAAGGCGTTGAGAATGGCCTCAGGTCGACGAGGAGGGCGACCTGGTCGGCGCTTGATAGGGGTCGGTGACGAGCCATTCGTATGCGCGCGAATCAGCTCTGCTATTGGATCCTTCTCATTCGTCTTATCGAGGCCGTTTGGCGACAGGATATGAGCAATCGATGATGTGGGAGGTGGGCGATCCACTTCTTCTGCATCGAAGACCGCAAACTTCGCATCAATATCTAGATCCGGATGGAATTCCTCCCAACCACGCTCCTCTCGCGGCTTGTAACCATCCCCTTGTTGTAGAGCAAGGGCAGCCGCCGTCGACGACCCGAAACGGCCCCGGTTCTGACTCTTCTCTCTTCTCAGACGCGCGGAGGGAGGCGTAGTCGGGACAGGAGGTGGCGGCGGCGGAGGCAGTTGTACAGGCTGAGGTTGAGGTGCTGACTCTGGAAGTGGAACTGGGCCATTGCGACCACGAGAGTTGGAAGAATTACGTCTGACTGCTGGAGAGGGCTTGGGTTTCGGCGTATCCTTCACCTCCAGCTCGATATATCTCCCACCACCACCCGGTCCGCCAGGGACATACTTTCGCTTCTTGAGAGGAGGGCCTTCGTTGGTCACCGATGAATCGGAGCTCGAGGGAGGTTTCAAGGTCACTCTAGCCTGGGATCGGGAGGGTCTGCTGGGCGAGCGGTGGCTCTTGGGCCATGAGAGGGGCGCCATAGTTTCAAACAAGGCGGGAATAAGCGCGAACAGAGACGGATAGGAAGTTCAACTAGAAAGGAGTTGGTGATAGAGCGACGCCGAGCGGTGCCGCTCAGCCGCACGTTCGAGGATTCCAGACAAAACGCACGTCGCGCGGTAAAGCAGGTAGAAAAGGGGAGTCAAACGATCGGAAATAAACAGAGCATGACTCCTCCAAGCCGCCAAGGTCGGAAAAGACAGTACTCGACAGTGAATGTGGGCGACAATAGAAGAGGGGGGAAGACGCGCAGGCCGCGAGAGGGCGGGAAGTTGACCAGATGCTGTGCTTATGATAAGCAAAGCAACCCGCTTGGCTGGCCGTCGGGCCCCAAAGGCGGAGAGTCTCAAGCCGCTCTCCACATTCGCGCTGCTTCCCGCCGACCTTCCAGTGTCTGTCAGTTCCGTCCCCTCTTGATTACTTACTTCCCAAGAGCTCTCTCTCCCCATTCACAAAGCCCACTTCGTTGTTCTGTTTACCGTCTACTGGTTAGATAGTTAACAGAATGAGTGGCCCCGGTGAAGAGCGGTAAGTTTAACCACCCACTCTTTTTTTTTTCCGGACTGAATTACTACTATGCTCCCCAGATCTCTAGACTAACAACAACCCACCCGTGGGTATGCATTCTAGATGGCGCGGAGGTCGCCCATACGACCAGAACCGCCACTCGGCGCAAAGACACTCCAACGCCCGCACCATGAGCGCGCATGGTGGGTCTCGGGGAGGACAGAATAATTGGGGAGATTCGCGTGACCAGTTCGCTTCCGGGCCGCAGCAGGAGCAGCATGTCCCCGTGCGAGGCTTCAATGCCGCGGAGGCGAAGGGAGCTCTGAGAAAGGGTAAGTTTAGGCCAGCTTCTACGCCAGGATTGGCACCAGCTAACACACAGCTTGCGCTGCACTTTAGGACCGGGAGGTGCGTATACCATCACGGCTTATTCGAAACCAATACCTACGATTACCTATCGCTAACCCTCATCTCCTCTTCCAGAACCGAGACCTTACTACTACAAACCACAAGGAAAGGATGTGAACAACCGCGCGAGCGGACCCTGGGGCGCAAAACGTACGTGACCACATCCCCAGGAAACAACAGCACGAAACAAACGATCAATGACCTAACTCGAACAACAACATATACAGCCAATCAAATGGCAAACGGCAAGGATTTCTTCCTCGAGCTTCGGAAGCAAGTGACGGCGCTGCAGCAGGGTGGCACTGTTGCAGGTGGATGATAGAGATTGAAGGTTGAAATAACTGTACAAAGTCGACCGATGCTGGAAACTTCGGGCGAGGGTCGGGAGATCTGAAGAGCCCGAAATGCTTGTCGCTGCTGGTGGGGTGTGGAGATGAGCTTTCACCATTGGTGATAGGCTGATAAGCTGTCACCTCTAGAAACCGGGGATTGGAATAACGGTCTCATCACAGACATACTGGTGCTGTCTTGAGCAGATCGGATTTGCATCATGTGTGTCTTGTGTTAAGGTAGCGCCTTTCGCATGGCTTGCGAATTACTAGTTCATATGACATGGAATGAAATGTACATGATTATACGGAATCCTCAAGTTGTAGGTAGTCGCCAGTAAAGCTCACTAGTAGTGGTGATACATGGATTGTGATCTATATACAGCTCATAAAAATACACACTCGAAGCAGAGTGAAGTGGTAACAACATCATCCCCCAAAATCTACCTATTGTACAAAATGATCTTCAGCTCTCTCCCACCCAAAAGGCCCAAGGACACCACCATCTCCCTCCTCTCGCGGATCCAGCGACCACTTCCTAATAGCCCGAGAGGTAAGATTCGTGCGCCAGCCCGCCTCAAACATCTCCATACCCGCCCAAGCAATCATAGCAGCATTATCCGTACACAAGTACGGCGGGGGAGCAACCAGACCAACGTGCCCGAACCCGCGGGCATCCAGCCACGAGCGCAACACAGTCATAAGGTACTGGTTTGCCGCAACGCCACCACTAACAACAAGAGTCTTGACCTCTTTCTCCGGCCCTTGCTTAGCAAGACTTTCCAACGCCATGATAGTGCGCGACGCCAGATGCTCGAAGCTAGTCCGCATTGCCTCCCGAGCCAGAGCTATCCGCTCCTCATGACTGATCGTTTGACCGGCTGCCTCGCGAGCCGAGAATATCCTCGCCAGCGTACTGCCTATGAAGCAGAAGCTATATTGCAGTTGACGGCTGTGGGCCCACGGCTCTACGAAAGACCAGCCCCAGGGATTTTCGCTTTTGCGTGGGAGGAGTTCGTCGTGGCGGGATTTGGGGGCTTGATAGTCGGCGTAGTCGGCTCTGCCGTTCGGGAAGGCGAATTGTTCTAACAATTTCCCGTACATGGTGCTCTTTGACGTCTGGAGGAGGTAGGGAGGGATGATTTCGCGGGAGGCTTTGTCCAAAGCCTCTCCGAGGGCTCGGTCCACTGTTGATGCCATGATTTCGTGATCGGTTATGGAGGAGGATTTGACTAGCATTGTATGGCCGCCGGAGGCGAGGATAGAGAGGAAGGGAAACTCGGGGGTGATGGGTTGCTGCGACGCCGCGACATCCTGGCTGTTATCTTGGGCCTGGCCATGGTGCATGCACGATACAAGACGAGGAGTCAACAGATGAGCCTGCATATGATGGACTCCGACGAACGGCACCTGCCATGCGACGGACAGCGCCTTTCCTGTATCTAGCCCGACGAAGAGGTTCGAGCGGAACCCCGGTCCCCTAGTGGCGCATACGAAGTCGGGTTTCCTGCGCAATTGCGAATCACTCGAGACATTTATCGTTTGGTGCTTTTCGTGCTTCGCGACGGGTAGGTGGGCGAGTGCTTTATGGACGAGACTTGCGATGTTCTCTTGGTGAGATTCGAGAGCCACGACCGGGTGGATGCCCTGGTATGCGCTGGTGTCGCAGGTCACCTTGTCGAGGAAGTGTATTTGAACGGCATTGGATTCCTTCTCGACGATGGCTACCGATGTGTCGTCGCTGGATAGATCAGAACAATTAGCTATGCTGTCGCGCAAGTGTTCGGGCGGATTAGATTAGACGCACCAGGACGTTTCGATGGCAAGTGTGAGCAGCCCGCGGCGGCTTCGAGGTAGAAGACTCCACCTCGGAGCAGTACACAAGCCTTTGCGTAATGCTGAGGTGGAAACTCTGCTCAACATTGGAGAGGATTTGAAGGACAAGCGAAGGAAGGCTGAGGCAAGCTTTCTGGGTCTGGCTTGTCGGCGGGAAAACTAAAGACTATCGTATCGGGATTCTCCACGCACGGGCCATCGAAACCCGGGGCCGCCGCCGCTGTTACTATAAATCGCTACGGTCGGTCTGATGGGGCTAGGATCACCGTTGGCGAGAATTCAGCATAAGTAGGTCTACTTATTTACTGCTAGCACTGAACACTATGGAGCCATAACGATCGTCATTGGGGCAGCCCAAGATAGGCCCTATGCTAAGTACAAAACGCCGGACCGTATCATCACATCATGAACATAACAGGTATCATATACACGCTGAGTCTATTCTCAATCCACCAAATGCATCCATCCCAGTGTTTCCGCTGCACTCAAGGACATCCAATGCCCCGGCGGCGCCGCCAGACATACCCCGAATTGTCGTTGCGCTCCAGATGCCGGATCGACTTATCATAACCGAGTCGGAGCGGGGAGGGCACAGAAACCGTGGCGCATCAAAAGGCTCTTCGGATTCCTGGCCCAGCATCCCGTCGATCTGCTTTTGGCCGTAGTGTTGTTGTAGCGACATCAGCCTCGTCTTCATTCACGAACAGTCCAACGTCGCTCCTCGCGCGACAACTTGGTGTAAGTGCCATAGTACTCCTCGGGATTCTCGATGGGTGTGACACAGTGGACAGTGGGAGTGCCCTTGAACTGAATCCGCTTTTCTGCGTGACTCGAGGCGCTAGAATGTTTCTTAAGGATACTCTTGGACGAACACGAGTTGGTGTAGGCGTAGCTTGGTACTTGGAATGACGAGAACCGCTTTGCACTCGGGCTCGCAGGGGAAATCGGAGTGCGCGGTATGGCGCTGGGAGACTTGAGGGACAGAGGCTGACGAGAAGTATTTTGCGCAGCGGAGGTGCACAGTGAAAGCTTCGGTCTTGCGTTGCGAGCGATCATTTTGACTGACACTGATGGGTTGGAAAGATGATTGAATGCAAAAAGATATCTTGTTCTCTGGGTGGAAGAAACAAGTAGAGAATAGGCGCAAAGGAGCAGCAGCACAAGATTATCAAGGAAAAACCACTTTGATCAACAGAGTGTTTCCAATGAGGCAGGCGTGTAAATGATACTATTATTACTCGATGACGTGCCAAACAGGAAGCTGAAAACAGATAGTCGCCTGGACCAGCCAAACGAACTACTCAAGGATGAAAATAGAACGAAAACAGAAACCCAGCAAAGCCCAAAACAAAATGTGTGTCAAGAAAAGAGGAAGAACCCTTAATCCCCGGGCTAGCTGGGCGGCTATATAGTTGTTCGACCTTCATTGCTGGGGAGAAACCCTGGTGGTGGGGAGGCCGAAGGCGAGGGGTTGACCTGGCGATGGATGGCAACCTATTTTAAGAAACTTTGGGTCAGGAGGTGACGCTTTGCACTCATCCATACTCCATGATTCGTTGTCGCTCAGCAGGGACCTCGAGACTAGGTGTGATGAAGGGGTGACTTGTGCCTTTTCGTGCAGCTGCCCGGCGCTTAGAATGTGATGAACACTAACCATTGGCTGCCGGCCGCCATCCCCCTCGTCGACCACCCGGCATCTTCACAATTTCCCGCAGTCGACGATCGGAAGCTCCCCTCACCATGAGATGGACAAGCATTCTGCAGAGTTTGAAGTGCCGAATAAGATGGTTGTTTGCCGTGGGCTTCGGAGCACACATGGGCGAGCGTGTGGGACATTGACGGCACTTGCATATGGGCACACCGACATCACACCCCACGACCGAACCATTGGTTCTCATCGTTCGTATCCCAATGACCTTCTGTGCCATTTTAGATGGAAAGAGCAAGATGCCGGCTTGCCAAAGTGCTGACGATCGTGCCAACCAGCCAATACGAGTGATTGTGGCTCTGGAATGGCTCCCAGAGCCTAACTCAAGGTTTCAAGCGAGCCCGGTCTTTCCCATTATCAACTTCCATGATTACAATGGTAGGATGGTTGGGGGAAGCCAAGGCATCAATGGCGGGGGGGGGCTCCAGGAAGGGTTCAGGCTGCCTCGAGGTCCGGACCGCCTGGTGTACAAACTCTTGCGTGTGCCGAGATCAATCGGTTTTGTAATTTGATTGAAACCCTTTTTCCAATTCGATGGCGATGTCAAAGAAGCCGCTAAGATGTCGGAAATGATTGAAACAACCAAGCCAAGAGGGTCATCATCCGTTTTGATTTCTGTCATCAGAAGTCACCCTTCGCAGCAGAGTTCGGAACCGGTTTTTCGGCACCGGAGTAATCGGCTGTAACTCGATGGTAGAGGATTCACTGTCGCGGCGAGAGTTGTCTTCATCCAAAACGTACTTCCATTGTCCATCGGCCGTTTCGTGTCGATTAAGTTTGTATCGTTTGTCCAGATCGACAAAGTGTTTCTCTCGATCGCCTTCACTCCAAGCGTATGTTCCCTTGAAATCGTTCAGAACTTGTCCGTGAATGACCCACGGGATGATAGAGCCTATGGACCGTGGGATGCGAGGAAATTTGAAACGACCTCTCCTGGTAAGGAAAACCGAGGCGACAACGCACCCATCAAAGACTACTATGATTAGAACATACATGAATGATGCAAACGATGGGACCACCGCCCATGACATGTTGTAGATAATACCATCGCTGATCCGAGCAGGGTGGTCTTGAAGTTGGAAGTAAGCATCCCGTTCAAGCGATAGATCAGTTGCAAAGATTGACCGGTAGACATTGCGGGTGGCGGATTCGAGAACATTTGCGGTAATGACACTTGTATTGGTGTCCAGAATGCGGTAGAGATTTGCCGTGAGGGTGCCAAACCAATCAGTGCTGCTTGCATTGTTGGTTTCTAGATACGAGCCATTGTAAGTGACGCTTAGAGGGTTTGATAGCCTGAGGTTGTAGTTGGCCAGGTTTGTCGTCCCGTTGCGTAGAATCGCATCGTCTGTCACAAAGGTGCCATTGAGAGGAACATGGTACTGTATGTACCCATCAGAGTTGAAACCAACAGAGAAATTCTGCATAATGAAGAGGGATTCGCAATACAACGCGACTGCGGTATCGGGTGTGGTTTGTAGATAGCCACCTCCGCTGGGGTAGGCAACCACGACGACAGCAGGCTTCTGACAGCCACTTGATTGTGCAAATGTCGGTGAAGCGAAGAAGCGAACCGTCAAACTGTTTACTTGGCTAGCCTCAGTGTCTTGGATTGTGTCTATTTGGCACACCGTATCTGATTCGTTGAAAGGCGAGTATTGCCAACTGGCTACATTTGTTACCGGGTCCTCGGAATAGCTGTCGGCGATCGAAAGCTGCTTGCATACTAAATCGGCACCAATGCCCCGAATGGTGCCCCCAACGAGCCATTCGGACGATGTGTCCGTCCATGCAGGGAGAAATGAATAGCTGGATGTGGTCCAAGCGAGCACCGAGGTACCGCTGTAGATGCTGCTCTTAATGGTGTCAAGTTCGGGGCCTATCGGCGAGGCTTGTCTTATGGCGATTGACGCATAGCTGTAGTTGGACTTCATATCAGCATCCGCCCTCGTCGGACCAAGCTCGTGCCGAAAAAGCCCGCTGGCTAATATGCTCATTGCGGTATTGAACATACAGGCCACTCCTACGAGTCCCAGCAAGAAGTGGCGGTAACTGAACCACTTAAAGAGTGAAGCAATAGGATTCAATGACCCGTACTCGAGAAGTAGGGAAGACGCAGCGGATGCGCCCCCTGCCTGAAGAACAGACCATGGTTCCAGGACGCTCAGGTATCGGTATATTGAGAGGCATAATGCCCTGATAATGGAAGCGAGTGCAGACGGGATGAATTGGAACAACGCCGCCAGACTGTCGGAGTTGAGATATGTCAATGCATGGAATGCCCCATCCTTGGCACACACCACGAATATCGTCACAATACCTGCAAATACCGCTATGAAGAGGAATATTTCAAGAGCGAAAATTGGTATAAGGAGGAAATGAGGTCTTGGATCGGGTTTGCCTTGGAAGATCTGCCTTTGAGACCGAGGAACTGAACAGTGTCAACATGTCTGCTCTATGAGGCCCTAACCGAGGCAAATCACAATTAGTGCGAGACTTACCAGCAGATGGCTCAATACAGATACGGGGAGGGTCAGAAGCTTGCTGCCAGCGGCAAGTATAGTTCTTGAGAATGGTCCTCAACTGTCTGGTTGACAACTGATCTAGGTTCAAGTGAGACAGACACGAAGCATCAATGACATCGGCCATGATACCACACATGGATGCGATAGAAGCCGGGTCACTTCGAAGCATATTCGGGCGATTTGGGTAGGTGTAGGCCAAATACAAAACCATTACCAATCCAAACAGAAGGATTGCCTCGGAGAAGAAGGACTGTACCGGGCCAACAATGATGGCCATCTGATGTGTCACATGAGAAGCTTGCACATAGTGTGACTGACTGGTGAGATCGAAGATCCTGTTCATCAACGGTACAAAAGCGCCTTGAACGCTAGTTTCCAGCTTCGAGATAAGATCGCGATGAAGTGTGGATGGCCTCACTGGCTTTTTATTGAACGTGGAAGTGCCATTGGTGGAGGCCACCTCTTGCAAAATTATGCTTTTGAAGTGGGTAGTATTAAGAGAAGCTCTGGAGACCTCTGTAGTCGAGTTCGGATGCAGATCAACGATTGAAAGCGAACCATTTACTTGTACTGAGATGCCAGCTTCCGAGGTCAGATAGACAAGCTTGCAGCCAAATCCATTGACCTGATGGGTGTAATCAGAGCTCGAATAGTCGGATTTCTGACGATCAAGTTCACTGGATTTGTTGAGACTAACGTCCACCGTCAGTCCGATTAGGTCGAAAGAAGCACACTGCTTGGTAATACTAGTCGTGGATGCGTTCGGCTGCCAGTGTGAAATCTGCACAGATGAGTTTGTCGGCGGTATGGTGATTTCCTCGCTGAGTTCCAGGGTGCAATTATCGGTTCTTGACACGTCGTAGAGGTTCCAAATCAAGGGTTGTCTAGTGGGAGATCCGATACCGAATGAAGACGTATTGGAGGATACATCAACGGTTACGGCATCTTCCACGTCGATCTCAGTACAGGATAACTCTGTCCAGTAGATGGATTGTGTGAGTTCCCACATTTTGGTGTCGTATTGAACATCTAATGGTATAGCCACCGGTGCCATGGCGTACTTGCTCGATTCCGGCTGACTATAAGACAGGTCCCGATGGTCTCGAATGCTGGTCGTGTTCTGGATGATGTTATCCACCAAGGATTCCTGCTCTTCGAGGTTCACGATAGTCGGCCATGTTTGAAGGTGCTGATTCTTGTAGACGGTAGCATCATCCATGTTGAAAAGACTACTTTGCAACGACGGGAATACCAATTGCAGGAGGATACTCAGGATTGAGATACAGACCGCAAGCCAATGGCGGTTCCTCATGGCAAAAAATGGCGCGGTTGTATAGTGACCGAATTCGTAGTTGAGAAGAAGCACATCAGCCGGAGCCCCTTGGGGTCTTGATAGTTGGAAGTACGGTTCGAGCCGAAGAGCATCATATTCAACGAGGGACCATAAGACTGCGATAACCATGCTCAGGATGGTGGGAACGTAGGTGTAGGCGAATTTCCGGGTGTCGGTGAGTTGATCAGTCGAGGTAAAGAGACTGAGGCTGCCTTCATTGTTGCCCAGTTGTCGAAGAAACTCAGTCACCAACAGCATGAAGAACATGAGGCAGGCCAACGGAATCAAGTATCGTCGGCGCAAGGTCCGCGGAAGCCATCCTGAAGTCCGGATCTGAGGAGCATCGCGGGTAAGCTCTGTTGTCATCGTTCCTCGGTCCTTCACATCTGTCAAAGTTGCCTAGCATAGATCACCGGAGGGATATGGCTGGTATCAAAAACCAGTCACCGCATTCAACCGCGATTCGACATGGCTGGAGGAAGTGTTCAGGAGTGAGGCGCTCGAGAATTGGGGAGGCACAAAAAGGTCACTTCAGGGTTGCCCATCGACGGATATCGCAGCTGATTGACTTGTCGACACAATGTGATGGAAGAAAAGCGGTATTCAGGGTCCTCTTTTTCCGATGATGCGGCTGGTTGCGCGAGGATCCGGGCTGGGCGGGAGGAGAGTCGATGAGGAATGAGATAAGAAACGAACCGGGTCGTTGTGCCTTTGGAAGGCGACGAGTCCCGGCGCCAAAACCATTTTAGAAAAATAGCCAATTTGGGGGGTGGGCAACTTGGCCCGTTTGGGATTAATTTATTGCACTGGGGCCTATTGGTACGTGTTCCGGGTGGAGCGCCCACTTAGAGGCTTGGAGGAGAGGGGGTTGACTGGTGATGCGATCCGCTTCGCAGCCCGTAAAAAGGCCACCAACCTCGCCTTACGATCCACTGCATTTGCAGCAGGAAATCTGGCTAGGTCTTCTAGTCTCCTTTCGACGCGGGATGAGTGTTGTGGTTCACGGGTCAGTCTTTCCCTTCTGCCGTCAGCAGTCTGCATCTCGGTGTACTCTCAGCCCAATCAGTATTAGTGGGTCATGGCCCTGGTTGATCACTGTGACTGTGACAGCCCTGGAGGATAGTATCCAGGAATAGGCATGATCGACGGTCAATAGATTGCATGATGGTGGTCGCAAAAGGGTGCTGCAAAGGGTTCAGACCTTCAAGACTAACAATGGGGAGGGACACTTGAGTGATGGTGGACTGGTGGAGGACACTTGCCATGGCCGAAACTTGGCGAGGGAGAAATGACGAATCTCTTTGGTAGCGCTCCAAGGCTTGGTATTTTTAGCCGCCCTGGTGCCCCACCGAGAACCGTCCCTGTTTCTTCCCAGCGACCTGGTTATCTTCTTTTACGCATCTAGATATATTAACCTACCTCAAAAGTCTTTGCACTGAGGAACAGTGAGATCATGGCATTCTCTTTCCTGTCTAGATTTGACGGTAACAGCACGCTATGGGCCTGGGCTTACCAATTGAGCAGCAAGGCAGCAAGGTCTGTCATCATGCCATTCGCCCATCTACTGATAACCTTAAAAATATTCTGCATTGAACCTCAGCTTACAGCCTATTAGAAAATCTTGCACAATCTGAGTACAAGCTGTGAGTCGTACCCATATCGCTGGATGTTTAGTGGTTCTGCGATCAGCCAACCTGCCACTTCACGCTCGTACTTGCAAGAAGGTACTTGTAGTAGATAGAGAGGATGATAACCCAGAAATTTGTTTGTCAATACTATTCAGAGTGTTCATGAGAGTATTTCTATGCGCTGTGCTCTCATAAACTTGTGTGAGCACTTAACTCATTACATGCTACGGGAAATCCTACAACAATAGAAAATATACTTGGTGCTAAACACAGATGACGGATATAAGTGATATCAAAGCCATGTTCTCAAGCTAGTAATATATGAGGGGCCATATAAGGTTTAGTATATAGCCTGCGCACTCTTCTGATAAGTGATGGGATGGCAGAGTCCTTTGTTATTAGATCTTATCAACGGAACCCTTGGTGACGAGTATATCTGGTGGGGATCTCAGGGTCTACGGCCGAACCCCTTTTTCATCATGAGAATCATCAGCAAGAGTCTCATCTGACAGTAGCTTGAATTCTGGGACTTGCCTTAAGAAAGACTAAGACAATTGTTTGGATATGCGGGATGTATCGATAAGAGGATTATGATTCAGAAAGCCTAGGTTGTTCGTAGTGCTCGGGTTGGCTTAACCCAGAGGACTAGTAGAACTCTTCATTACTTATGCTGTCTACCTTATAAACAAAATGCAGTATAGTGGCATGAATTATACTGTACAGTCAAATTATACTGCATTTTATGCTACATCATAACATGAGAGCTTAATGGGTGTTGTACAGAAAGGGGCCAATATACAGATTCGAGATATGACTCGTAGCCAGTAATGACGCTAAGATGGCTCCGATCGGCAAGCATGAAAAAGATGAACAAACTCTCCACTGTACCACACGCATTTATGGACTACCAATTCTCCTTGTTGATGTGGTTGAGCGATGGCAAAAGGTAAATAAAGAAATCAAAGAATACAAACAGTGATGAGGAAAAGTGTTGTTGTCAGTGTAGATCGGCGAAGCTTTCGGTCGAAGGAATTAGTGCGTGGTAGGAACCAATAAAGCGCGATCGAGAAGCACTTGGCACTCTGGGCGTCACTGCCCGTACTACTATGATCACCATCTCACTTAATGTACTCCGTACCTGTAGCTAATTTGGATACGACTTCTGCAACGGTTGAACTCCAGCCTTACCCGGCATGGTGGCTTGAAACGAAGCAGAGCAGTGGCAGCCCGATCCGGCCATCGGTTCCCTTCGGATACGATGGATCCTGGATGAGCCGCCGCTAAATTCGGGCCCAGACCAGAGTGGCTCTCAAAAAGAGGTAATACCGCGTGTGACCTACCTCGGTGTGGTCCATAAGTAGATAGGAGTTTCTCCATAACTTCTTGGAAATCGTTAGAGCGTTGATGGTTGCTGGACAGAGTGATGGGTCTGCCTAACCTAGCAGACTAGTCAAACTCACCTGCCTGCCTGCCCTGTTTTTTTTTCTTTTGTAGGGCCCTGGCACGTCGACCATGCAAACACGCCAAACCCCACCAGGCGCCAGGTATCCACGGAAGTATGGCAGCCACGGATGACGACAACTTCTCAACTCAATTCTTCGTTGTCACCTTGGCTCCCCTTTCTCCTTTTTCTCCGACTGGCTTCCCGGGATCTTGTTGCAAGACTTCAGACAAGGTAGATCCTCTGGTGTCAGGCTCGAGACAACACATCAATTCCATTTGCTGGGCTCATCGATAAGTTGCAGTGTATGCGAAGCTTCCGCCTGCAGTGCAGGGTAAACTCGACCACCGGTGTACATGACCTAATCCTGGTTTCCATACCTTGAACATCACAAATGGGCGCGGTGAAGAACATTCTAGAGCCTGCGGGTAAGTTATATCCCTGCTACTCGCAAATCCGCATCATCCGAAGAAGCATACTCATGGTCACGTCCTGCTGTAGCGATTGTCGCCGCCTTCACCGCAGGAGCACTCATCAATCGGCGCAAGAACGCTAAGCTCCTCGCTACGCCGGACGTCGAGTCACCACTGCTGGAAGCTCCTCCAGTGGACATAAAGCCAAACGATGAGGACTCTGATGAGCGCATAATTCGAAACCGCCGAACCATACAATCACGGATCCTTGCCAAATTCCCCTTCTTGTTGGAAATATGGTATTGGCTACTCACATATTGGGTGAGACACATCTTGATGCCCAAGGCATATTTCCTGTAGTACCACGCATTGCTGACTGTGTGGATAGATTTATCAAGGTTTACGGGCGTTTTCCGCTAGGATGATCAGTGGCCATGAGGCTATTTTCGACACCGCTGAGCGCCACGCCCTTTCCATCCTCTCGTTCGAGCACTTCCTTCACCTTGATGTCGAGCTATCCGTACAAAGATATGTGCTTGAGCAGAAGCCATGGCTCATGGGATTCCTGGCTCGAGTATACTATTCACACATTGTCCTCGGTGTGATATTCATCGTCTACTGCTATACCTGCATCCAACGAGACAAGTATCAAGCAATCAGGCGTACACTGGCGTTCGAGAACGTCATTGCCTTCACCATCCTTACCTTGTGGAGGTGCATGCCACCTCGCCTGCTGCCAGAGGAGTACGGCTTCATCGACGTTCTGCACAGCAATGCAGGCGGCTCAGCCTGGACGCAGAACAAATTCCAGCTCACAATTGCAGCGATGCCCTCGCTCCACTTCGGCAACTCGATGTTCATTGCACTCTGCCTGCTGAAGTTCAGTCCTCATTGGTACCTTCGAGCTGTGGCACCCATCTGGCCCATGCTCATGGGACTTACTATCGTTGCGACAGCCAATCATTTTATCCTAGATGCTGTTGTCGGTGCATGTGTGACGCTCACGGCATTCAGATTAAACGCCGTCATGTTATATCTTCTTCCTGTGGAAAGAGCACTCTTCAGGTTGTTGCGTATAGAGAAACCCTAGGTCGCCAGAGGTGTCTAGCCTGCCGGTATACAGTCTTGGGAACTTGGAGTTAGAATATCTATATCGTTATTCCTACTTGTGTCAATATTTTTCGGTGGAGAGTACATAGTCATCGTTAATCCACCTACACTTGGATCGCGTATGTACACAGGCAGAGTGTCTGTCTTATCAACCGTATCGTACAGGCAAACTCAGTTTAAACCTTTCAAGCTCCCGGAGAATAGATAACACCGGCGAGTCAACTCCCTCATGCAGCTTTTTTGACCTAATTGTTTAGGGGTGAGCAAATGTGTCAAAGTAGCTACACCGGTGTCCGTTTATCTACGAACGAAGTCAACCAGTGCTACCTATTAACCAGAAGCAAAAAGGAATCATGTATACCGGTGAACAGGCAGAGGATCTGGAGACTATGAAGTAGAGAAATGATAGTTATATTTACCTTTTTTTGTTTTTTGTATTTGAGGACAACCATTGTGAGAGTGTGGACTATTTATTTCCTTTCCTTCTATTTTTAATAATTTTCAGTCCCCCTTCATTTGATATTAATCCTTACTTCTGGTGGTGTGCTACAAATACATTCAGCAGGTGTGGACGATTGTGGAGATCTTCAATAGAAGTAAGTACGTAGTAAGTAAACATGCGTGAGATATAAATCATATAACCTTCGTTGTGAAGGTCTACGAACAGTCAGGACGTCGTAGTATAAATGACCCGAATGATAGCATTGATACTAGGAAGTACATAGCGTTGACAATAATCCAATATTATGTATGGAATAGCCTTTCGTTGGGAAA